AAACTGTACTAACAGTCACGGAATTCTTCACTGCTACCCACTTAACAGTACAACAAAAAAATCCACTTTGACTTGAATGTCCTTGATAAAGTACTAAAAAGTACCAACAGTATTAATTCTCAACATTTCAGTACAAATCTTTATAATACTGATAATTTTGGGGGATGAAATGGAAAGTATTCAAAAGCATTTGTGCATACTGAATTACAAAGATTGTCTCAAGGTAAAACAGTTGTGTGTTTTGAGTACAAAGCTGAACTAGCTGATTTTTTCATGGAACACTATTTTTATTTCAAAGGATGAATGACAAAGTACGGTTATTCGGATTGGAAAAAGAAACTAGAATTTTGAAAACTTGTGTCCACCACTAAGACCGCATCAGCTTCCCAACTCTTAAAGACTTATCCGAAGAGTGAAAATATTAACTGTACAATTAAATCTGTCAACTGGAAGAGCTGTGTAACTCAGTAAACCAATGACTTCTAAATGACCAATGTATATCATAAAACCATGCATGGATAAATATCCATTTAAGTGTAAAAATAAATGAATTTTAATGTAACAGAGTACAGAAGTTCAATGGTTTCATATTCTATATTGCAAAAACTTTTTAAAAAGTTTGAGTGCCCTGGCTGGTGTGGCTCAGAGGACTGAGTGACAGCCTGCAAACCAAAAGGACGCTGGTTCGATTCCAGTCAGGGCACACACCTTGGTGGGGGCTGGGGCATGCAAGAGTCAATGGATCCATGTTTCCCTCTCTGAAAAGAAATAAATAAAAATCTTTTAAAAATAAAAATAAAAAGATTTAAGTGTAGTGTCAAAGAACATCTACAATTATTTGAAAAGGTTATTTAAAAACTCCTCCCTTCAATTAATAAAGCCATACAAACTGGAGGTGGGTGGGGGTAGGGAATGGGTAAAAACCTTTCTACCTTTTCCAGTATCTGTATGAGGCTGGATCTTGTTCACACACTTCACCCAAAAGAGCATATTAACTGTCTGATTGCAAAAGATGATCTGCAAATCCAATGGTCTTTATTAAGTCAGACACTGATGAGATGTGCAAAAATGTACATAAATGCCATCTTTATCACTAAATTTTTATTATTTTTTCATAAAATTGTGTCATTAGTGTTAAAAAATTAATTTATTTTTAATCAATAAATCTTTTAAAAATTTTGTTTTAATTTTTAGTACAGTAAATACCAGTAGATATAACTCACATACATAAGAGCTATTTGAAGTCTTAAAAGCATAAATGAATCCTGAGACCTCGAACTTTGAGAACTGCTATCCTAGACTATTGCTACAGCCTGACTCCAGTTCCATGTCTTACAATCTACCCTACTACACCCAGCTTAAAGTTACTCTTAGTATCAGACTTAACTAATTAGAGCTTTACCTTAAGATATAATTTTAATTTCTCCACTGAAAGTTTCCTTTCGTTCCATGCTACACTGAATTAAGTACAAACTCTTCAATATGGCAAATAATTACCAATATTTATTAAATTCTCAGCGCGAGTACAAGTGGACAAAACCTCTGATCAGTGTATACTTATGTGACATCAAGTACATCAGTGAAATGAAAAGATAATGGAATCACACAGCATCACATTTCATTACATCAATTCAACTATAAGCTCCTGTACCCTCTTTCACAAAAATAGATATTGCTTATTTACCCAATGGTCAATCCCCTTTCAAGCAAGACCTTGATTTTTCCTATGCCAGAAAATGAGAGGCTACCATAGAAATGAATGGAGAAACTAAAAAAAAATGAATCGAGGACTTCTCTTTTCAGCTTTCCAACTTAAGGGTTTTTCAAGGGCAATTTTAACAAAATGCAACTTATCAGCTGACTTTACAAGCATACACCAGACAACATAATGGTATGATTTTACTGAAATATTGGGAATATTTTCTCTAGAGCAGTGGTCTCAATGAGAGGCAATTTTGCCTCCCAACAGACATTTGACAATGTCTGGAGACATCTGGATTGTTACAATTTAGGGAGAAGGTATACGGGTATTTAATGGATAGAGGCCAAAACTGCTGCTAAACATCCTACAATAGAGAAGACAGTGCCTCCACAATAAGTTATCTGGCTCAAAATGTGAACCAATGTCAAAATGTCTTGCCAAGGCTGAGAAACCTCGCTCTAGAGGCATACTATGTCAAATACAGCAGATCCTCAAATAATGTCATTTCAACATCATTTTGTTATAATATTGATAACAAATCAAATTTGTGATAATATTGATTATAAAAACTTAACCCTTGTTTATATTAATTAGCCTATGGTCAAATTGGTTTGTTCTACATAGTTTCGCTAAGTTCCAAGAACCTATCGATGACATGGGGGACTTAAGTGTCATCGTACTTAGGTCCAGTTCCAAACACAAATACATTAAAATCTCAAAAAACGTTGTTTAATCTCTGAATTTCTTAGGCCTCTAACCTTTTAACAAATTCCATAATTAGAAATGTGCTTTTTATCGGAAATCAAACATCAGTATTACTATCCCTTACTTTCTAGGTTAGTTGCCACTATAAAAATATTATCAATAAAATAATATAACTGATGTTTTTTCTGAGCTGTGAATTTCCTGAATGTTCTACTTGCTCTTAGTTATCCAGGAGCTAGTGGACATGAATAAAGTCAGGTACCAAAGTACCATGTAACATATGAATGGTATGGTTCCTCTAATGTGGGCCCTCTATTTCAGGAGCACACAAATACCCAACCTCTTTAGACTACTTTCAGGTTTAACTCCTCAATATTTGTTTATTCATTCAAACAAACACACTTACTCAGAGCCTACCATGTGCAAACAACTTGAATACAAAGATAAGACATACATATTTTATCACAGGCTAATAAAAAGACAAACAGCTAAAACACAAAAAGACTTGTGCTATTTATAGCACAAAATGCAGGGGAGAGGATGCCAGGGAAGGCTACCCAGAAGAGCATGATGCTTAAACTGAGAAAATGTCACAGAATATATACCTTATTCATATCTTAGTATTTACTCTACTGATCTCTTTTGCTCTAATACACCATTATTTTTCAGTTTTGCTCTGTCATTAAACAGGAGCAAAATGAAGATACGACTGATGTACACAAAGTGGCAACTCACTTTCAGCAAATCTTAATGAAGAGTCAAAAAATAAGTCTATCAATGTATTTCCTAGTTCCTCCATCCTGTCCAACTTCTGCTTTTGTCTTTTAAATAGTCTAACTTCTTCCACCAAGTAAACATACCATCTGTCACCTAGTTAACAAGGGTTTCTTTCTTAATTTTTAAGGCTGTCACAGAAAATGCTCACTGGCCTTTTCTTTCTTCCAGTTACTTTCTTCTTCCAAAATGGAGTTTAATTTTCTCACCTTCTTCTACTACAAAATTTTGAATTCTGTACAAGAGAGAAGCCATGAGTTCCAAAGTACAATTACAAAATTTGCTGCCTACCTTTCTGCTCTCTCTTCCAATATTGCTCTGAGTCACTACCTGAACTCTTTCTTCTGAGTTCCTCGCAGAATAAAAACTTTAGATTTGGAACAAGAAACTAGTCAATAACTTGTGCGTTTACCAATTCCTTTTCCAATACATAACATTACTGACATACTTTAACCAACTTTTAAGTTAAGTTCTCATGGTCCAGGTAAGAGTACCACTAATTAAGCGTCTGCGTAATGGTGAATTGAGTTGATAGCAAATAAGTGGAAACGCTACTGAAGACTTGATCTGCTCTAACTATCGAATGCCCCTGCACCCCTGCTCCACTCCCACCCCAAAGGAAATCCTCAATAATGGAAGACTAAAACACCCAGGAAAAGTGATGTAGTAGACAAATTCTTCGACTGAGTCGAAGATCTGACACTGGCTAATAATGTCCCTTTTCTGGGCCTCGATTTCTTGACCTATGAAACTTGCACGTGATCTAGGGTAAATTGGCTTAATTACTATGGTCCTTAGCTATATAGTAACCCGGAAAACCCATCTTTCTCATTTAGCTTTACATGAAACACGTGGGAGACCAGAAAATAATTTTATTTCACTACCCCAACCTTAATTCCCAGATGTTTCAAAAAGCTAACCAACTCCCGCTCCACCCGCCCTAACCCTGGAGCTGCAATTTCCCCAGTAGGAGAGGCCGAGGCAAATAATGCCCATCCCACACGGCAGTCAAGGAAGCGCTAGGAGACCGTATTCCGGGTTTTAAGGCGCTGCCACCGCAAAGGGCCGGCCCACCTAGCCACCGCCGGACAAATGAATTAAGTATAACTGGATAGATGGGCGCTCCCTCACCGTAGGCTGTGATGGGAGCCCCGGAGTCCAGATCCCACCGATAGCCATTCTCTCCCAGTTCCCAAAGAGCCGGCCTCTGGGCCGCAGGGTCGCGGGCCCGCCCCCACCCTCAGGGCAGAGGTGCGCGCCGGGGCGCGAGACTTCAGCGCGGAGAGGGCCTGGGAAGCCCCGCACACCGCCCGCCCAGACTGGAGGAGGAGCCTGCAGTCCTGAGCAGCAACCAGCCCGGCTCCCGACTTACCGCGGTACGGTGGGGGAGGGGAAGCGTCAGGAGTAAGGGCCTAGGCCCGTTCGCCACCCGCCGCTCAGAGAGCAGCGCGCGGCCGCCACGAAACCGTCGCCACAGTCAACACCACCGATACCGACCGCCGCTTCGAGCGCAACGCGCAAAGGACCGGACTGCGTCACACGCCGCCCACCGTCAGAGGCTCGCTCCGAACGCACCGCCCCCGCTGCCTGCGCATTGGTAGCTGACGATGCCACTCTAGGCCCACCCTATAACTCATTGGGCAACGAGTCTTTTGAAACTGAACGTGAGGGCGGTCTTCAGCAGAAGGGGAGAGGAGGAAGAGGAGGGACAGAAGGAGTTAGGGGTGGGCCTAGAGTGGCATCGTCAGCTACCAATGCGCAGGCAGCGGGGCGGTGCGTTCGGGCGAGCCTCTGACGGTGGGCGGCGTGTGACGCAGTCCGGTCCTTTGCGCGTTGCGCTCGAAGCGGCGGTCGGTATCGGTGGTGTTGACTGTGGCGACGGTTTCGTGGCGGCCGCGCGCTGCTCTCTGAGCGGCGGGTGGCGAACGGGCCTAGGCCCTTACTCCTGACGCTTCCCCTCCCCCACCGTACCGCGGTAAGTCGGGAGCCGGGCTGGTTGCTGCTCAGGACTGCAGGCTCCTCCTCCAGTCTGGGCGGGCGGTGTGCGGGGCTTCCCAGGCCCTCTCCGCGCTGAAGTCTCGCGCCCCGGCGCGCACCTCTGCCCTGAGGGTGGGGGCGGGCCCGCGACCCTGCGGCCCAGAGGCCGGCTCTTTGGGAACTGGGAGAGAATGGCTATCGGTGGGATCTGGACTCCGGGGCTCCCATCACAGCCTACGGTGAGGGAGCGCCCATCTATCCAGTTATACTTAATTCATTTGTCCGGCGGTGGCTAGGTGGGCCGGCCCTTTGCGGTGGCAGCGCCTTAAAACCCGGAATACGGTCTCCTAGCGCTTCCTTGACTGCCGTGTGGGATGGGCATTATTTGCCTCGGCCTCTCCTACTGGGGAAATTGCAGCTCCAGGGTTAGGGCGGGTGGAGCGGGAGTTGGTTAGCTTTTTGAAACATCTGGGAATTAAGGTTGGGGTAGTGAAATAAAATTATTTTCTGGTCTCCCACGTGTTTCATGTAAAGCTAAATGAGAAAGATGGGTTTTCCGGGTTACTATATAGCTAAGGACCATAGTAATTAAGCCAATTTACCCTAGATCACGTGCAAGTTTCATAGGTCAAGAAATCGAGGCCCAGAAAAGGGACATTATTAGCCAGTGTCAGATCTTCGACTCAGTCGAAGAATTTGTCTACTACATCACTTTTCCTGGGTGTTTTAGTCTTCCATTATTGAGGATTTCCTTTGGGGTGGGAGTGGAGCAGGGGTGCAGGGGCATTCGATAGTTAGAGCAGATCAAGTCTTCAGTAGCGTTTCCACTTATTTGCTATCAACTCAATTCACCATTACGCAGACGCTTAATTAGTGGTACTCTTACCTGGACCATGAGAACTTAACTTAAAAGTTGGTTAAAGTATGTCAGTAATGTTATGTATTGGAAAAGGAATTGGTAAACGCACAAGTTATTGACTAGTTTCTTGTTCCAAATCTAAAGTTTTTATTCTGCGAGGAACTCAGAAGAAAGAGTTCAGGTAGTGACTCAGAGCAATATTGGAAGAGAGAGCAGAAAGGTAGGCAGCAAATTTTGTAATTGTACTTTGGAACTCATGGCTTCTCTCTTGTACAGAATTCAAAATTTTGTAGTAGAAGAAGGTGAGAAAATTAAACTCCATTTTGGAAGAAGAAAGTAACTGGAAGAAAGAAAAGGCCAGTGAGCATTTTCTGTGACAGCCTTAAAAATTAAGAAAGAAACCCTTGTTAACTAGGTGACAGATGGTATGTTTACTTGGTGGAAGAAGTTAGACTATTTAAAAGACAAAAGCAGAAGTTGGACAGGATGGAGGAACTAGGAAATACATTGATAGACTTATTTTTTGACTCTTCATTAAGATTTGCTGAAAGTGAGTTGCCACTTTGTGTACATCAGTCGTATCTTCATTTTGCTCCTGTTTAATGACAGAGCAAAACTGAAAAATAATGGTGTATTAGAGCAAAAGAGATCAGTAGAGTAAATACTAAGATATGAATAAGGTATATATTCTGTGACATTTTCTCAGTTTAAGCATCATGCTCTTCTGGGTAGCCTTCCCTGGCATCCTCTCCCCTGCATTTTGTGCTATAAATAGCACAAGTCTTTTTTGTGTTTTAGCTGTTTGTCTTTTTATTAGCCTGTGATAAAATATGTATGTCTTATCTTTGTATTCAAGTTGTTTGCACATGGTAGGCTCTGAGTAAGTGTGTTTGTTTGAATGAATAAACAAATATTGAGGAGTTAAACCTGAAAGTAGTCTAAAGAGGTTGGGTATTTGTGTGCTCCTGAAATAGAGGGCCCACATTAGAGGAACCATACCATTCATATGTTACATGGTACTTTGGTACCTGACTTTATTCATGTCCACTAGCTCCTGGATAACTAAGAGCAAGTAGAACATTCAGGAAATTCACAGCTCAGAAAAAACATCAGTTATATTATTTTATTGATAATATTTTTATAGTGGCAACTAACCTAGAAAGTAAGGGATAGTAATACTGATGTTTGATTTCCGATAAAAAGCACATTTCTAATTATGGAATTTGTTAAAAGGTTAGAGGCCTAAGAAATTCAGAGATTAAACAACGTTTTTTGAGATTTTAATGTATTTGTGTTTGGAACTGGACCTAAGTACGATGACACTTAAGTCCCCCATGTCATCGATAGGTTCTTGGAACTTAGCGAAACTATGTAGAACAAACCAATTTGACCATAGGCTAATTAATATAAACAAGGGTTAAGTTTTTATAATCAATATTATCACAAATTTGATTTGTTATCAATATTATAACAAAATGATGTTGAAATGACATTATTTGAGGATCTGCTGTATTTGACATAGTATGCCTCTAGAGCGAGGTTTCTCAGCCTTGGCAAGACATTTTGACATTGGTTCACATTTTGAGCCAGATAACTTATTGTGGAGGCACTGTCTTCTCTATTGTAGGATGTTTAGCAGCAGTTTTGGCCTCTATCCATTAAATACCCGTATACCTTCTCCCTAAATTGTAACAATCCAGATGTCTCCAGACATTGTCAAATGTCTGTTGGGAGGCAAAATTGCCTCTCATTGAGACCACTGCTCTAGAGAAAATATTCCCAATATTTCAGTAAAATCATACCATTATGTTGTCTGGTGTATGCTTGTAAAGTCAGCTGATAAGTTGCATTTTGTTAAAATTGCCCTTGAAAAACCCTTAAGTTGGAAAGCTGAAAAGAGAAGTCCTCGATTCATTTTTTTTTTAGTTTCTCCATTCATTTCTATGGTAGCCTCTCATTTTCTGGCATAGGAAAAATCAAGGTCTTGCTTGAAAGGGGATTGACCATTGGGTAAATAAGCAATATCTATTTTTGTGAAAGAGGGTACAGGAGCTTATAGTTGAATTGATGTAATGAAATGTGATGCTGTGTGATTCCATTATCTTTTCATTTCACTGATGTACTTGATGTCGCATAAGTATACACTGATCAGAGGTTTTGTCCACTTGTACTCGCGCTGAGAATTTAATAAATATTGGTAATTATTTGCCATATTGAAGAGTTTGTACTTAATTCAGTGTAGCATGGAACGAAAGGAAACTTTCAGTGGAGAAATTAAAATTATATCTTAAGGTAAAGCTCTAATTAGTTAAGTCTGATACTAAGAGTAACTTTAAGCTGGGTGTAGTAGGGTAGATTGTAAGACATGGAACTGGAGTCAGGCTGTAGCAATAGTCTAGGATAGCAGTTCTCAAAGTTCGAGGTCTCAGGATTCATTTATGCTTTTAAGACTTCAAATAGCTCTTATGTATGTGAGTTATATCTACTGGTATTTACTGTACTAAAAATTAAAACAAAATTTTTAAAAGATTTATTGATTAAAAATAAATTAATTTTTTAACACTAATGACACAATTTTATGAAAAAATAATAAAAATTTAGTGATAAAGATGGCATTTATGTACATTTTTGCACATCTCATCAGTGTCTGACTTAATAAAGACCATTGGATTTGCAGATCATCTTTTGCAATCAGACAGTTAATATGCTCTTTTGGGTGAAGTGTGTGAACAAGATCCAGCCTCATACAGATACTGGAAAAGGTAGAAAGGTTTTTACCCATTCCCTACCCCCACCCACCTCCAGTTTGTATGGCTTTATTAATTGAAGGGAGGAGTTTTTAAATAACCTTTTCAAATAATTGTAGATGTTCTTTGACACTACACTTAAATCTTTTTATTTTTATTTTTAAAAGATTTTTATTTATTTCTTTTCAGAGAGGGAAACATGGATCCATTGACTCTTGCATGCCCCAGCCCCCACCAAGGTGTGTGCCCTGACTGGAATCGAACCAGCGTCCTTTTGGTTTGCAGGCTGTCACTCAGTCCTCTGAGCCACACCAGCCAGGGCACTCAAACTTTTTAAAAAGTTTTTGCAATATAGAATATGAAACCATTGAACTTCTGTACTCTGTTACATTAAAATTCATTTATTTTTACACTTAAATGGATATTTATCCATGCATGGTTTTATGATATACATTGGTCATTTAGAAGTCATTGGTTTACTGAGTTACACAGCTCTTCCAGTTGACAGATTTAATTGTACAGTTAATATTTTCACTCTTCGGATAAGTCTTTAAGAGTTGGGAAGCTGATGCGGTCTTAGTGGTGGACACAAGTTTTCAAAATTCTAGTTTCTTTTTCCAATCCGAATAACCGTACTTTGTCATTCATCCTTTGAAATAAAAATAGTGTTCCATGAAAAAATCAGCTAGTTCAGCTTTGTACTCAAAACACACAACTGTTTTACCTTGAGACAATCTTTGTAATTCAGTATGCACAAATGCTTTTGAATACTTTCCATTTCATCCCCCAAAATTATCAGTATTATAAAGATTTGTACTGAAATGTTGAGAATTAATACTGTTGGTACTTTTTAGTACTTTATCAAGGACATTCAAGTCAAAGTGGATTTTTTTGTTGTACTGTTAAGTGGGTAGCAGTGAAGAATTCCGTGACTGTTAGTACAGTTTGGGACCATTGACTTGATTTATGCTCAGATTTCAGCAGTTTTATAAACCACTGCTTATTGTACTTCACTGCAGAAGTCAGCACAGTCAAATAAGGCAAATAATGTTTAATACTTATTATGAAAATAGTTTTGAGTTCATCGACTCTTTGAAAGAGGTCTTGGGGACTCCTAGTGTCCTTTGAACCACACCTTGAGAACCTCTAATTTAAGACAATGATTTTTCACACTAGTTCGTACAGCCCTAAGCTTCTTTGAAAGGACTCTACTGTGCCCACTCCTCTTTATTTCGACCACTGCAGCTTCTGCTGGTGTCTTGTTTTATGTATTGGATTCCGTAGCTAAAAATACGTAAAAATCATTGAGCAAAGGGGAAAGAATTGAGTGCCTGAATTAGGAGCATCTTCAGGGAAGGAACAGTTTATCCTCCATAAATGTGTGTTACAGTC